GGGGTGTGTGTGTGTGTGTGTGTGTGTGTGTGTGTGTGTGTGTGTGATTGTGTGCACGCGTGGGCGCGCATGCGTGCGAATGTGTGTGGATCCATGGTGCGGAACCATGGATCCACGCATGTGTAACCAAGCAATCACCCCATGTGTACCCCTGACAAGATGCGTTTGACCCCGCGCCCTCTGCTCTGGCGAGACCCAGACCCAATACCAATGCTACCGCTCCATTCTCGAACCGACGGCCTCATGAACCACACCCCAAGCCCATGCCCATGCATCCCCGCCCACCAGGCGCAACCTCAACTCCCCTCCCGTATGCGTTTTCAGCATCAACACTCTGCCGCCGCGGCACCCTTACCCCGCCCCAGCCGTCGGCCGTCTGGAAGACGAGAGCCAGCTGGTGGTGAGGGCGGCCCTGCGCCTCCTGTACGACACCGTGGCGCACAACCCCTTCAGCCCGGCCCTCGAGACGGGCCGCTTTTCCGCCACCCTGGCGCACCTCGAGGCGCAGCTCGGCGCCATGGGGCCGGGGCCCGGCGAGGAGAGCGACGAGGAGCGGGACGGGGAGGGGCGGGGCGGCGGGGAGGCGGGCGCGGAGGGCGGCGACGGCGACGGCGGCGCGCGCTGGGAAGAGGGCGACGTCGAGGTGCGGGGAACTGCAGCGTCTGGGCGGCGGCTCGCGGGCGGCGCTGCCTGCGCGCGGGCGCCGCGCCGTTCGCGCCCGTGGCGCTCGACAGGCCGGCTGCCGTGCGCCGTCGGTGGGCCCCTCCCGTCTGCCGGCCGGCTGCAGGGCAGCAGCTGGCTCGTTCAAGCGGTGACGCAATAACTGGACTTTGTTACCTCTCTGTGCTCTCCAGCTCACCTGCTTGATGATGTATCAATGCGTCTGTTTACAAAATAGTCGTTTACGCTGCTTGATCCACGCCCAAATCACAGATGGAAGATGAGGATAAGGAGGCGGCCACGCCCCGCCGCGGCGCGGCGGCGGCAGATGAGGCATCGGCCCAAGGCGGAGACGCGCCGGCGGACAGCAGCCTCGACTCCCCCAACAGAGGTGGGTGTACGCGGTCGCATGCAAGTGTGTGTGTGTGTGTGTGTGTGTGTGTGCGTGTGTGTGTGTGTGTGTGCACATGATCTATGGTGTGTGCATGTGATGATGCGGCATGTGCGCACGTACACATTTCTGCTTGCATGCACGCATTCACATGCAATCAGACCCACCAGCTGGGGCATCTGCACGCCTGGCAATCATTGTCACGAAACAGCACCCTGTGCGAACCATCAACCCGCAAACAAGCAAGTCAACCAACATGACCACATTCACGCAGCCACCCGCCCGCCCACCTGCCCAACCGACCCTCAAACAATCCCCCCAAAAGGGACCCTGCCGGCGGACTCCAGGCGCGCAGAGCTGCGGCACCTGGTGGCCACTCTGAAGGAGGCCATTGCCTTCTGCCGCCGCCTGGAGGGCGCGATGCCTGCGCTGCGGGCGCTGCTGGCGTGCCCACATGGGGACGTGGTCAAAGATGTGATCGCGTTGTTGACCTTCTGCAGGTGGTTCCCATGATCATGCGTGTGAAGTCTGTGGCTCTGGGAGGTCTTGGCAGAGACGGAGTGTTCTTGTGGGGCCCCACCCCCCTCTTTGTGTGTGTATATAAGTGTTTGTGTGTGTGTGTTTGTGAGTGAGTGTGTGTGAGTGTGTGTGTGTGTGTGTGTGTGTGTGTGTGTGTGTGTGTGTGTGTGTGTGTGTGAGGAGAGCGTGCGATGGCCCCGACGGGGACGCGGTCCAGGATGCAATCACCCTGCTGGCCTTTTGCAGGTGGTTCCCAACTTCCTTACCACGGGCTGCGGGCGTGCGTGGGAGCGCGTGTCCGCTTGCATGCACTCTTGCCTGTGTGAAGGGCGCGGCTCTGGGCGGCCTGGACAAAGACGCGGCGCCCTTGCAGACACCTCTCTGTGTGTTGAGCACATCGTGCAGAGTCGACCCAACAGGGGAACGTGTGCGTGTCGTCTCTCGCGCGCCCTCCTCCAAACCAAATCGCAGGCGGTTCGAGGTGCCGGGCGCCGCGGCCACCCTGCGCGGGATGTGGCCGCTGGTGTTTGCGCGAGAGGAGGGCGTGAGGACGGCGGTGCTGGACGCGTGGTACGAGCTGTACCTGAAAGACCTGGAACCCAAGGCGCAGGTGTGTGTGTGTGTGTGTGTGTGTGTGCGCGCGCCCTTGCATGTGTGTGTTTACGGGTCGTGCAAGCTGTGCCTGAAAGATGTGGACCCCAAGCCGCAGGAGGGCGCGCGCGCACGTGTGTGTGTGCGTGTGTGTGTGTGTGTGCGCGCGCGTGTGTGTACGTGTGAAGTGTGAGGGTGGGTGGTCATCTGGAAGCAAGGCAGGAGGAAGGGGGGGGCGGAAGAGCAAAATCAGTGTTGCCGCTGTGCTGGGCGGCGAGGTGCAAGCTCTGCGCGTTGGGCGTGAAAGCCAGCGCGCAGGCTGTGCGGGGGGGTCTGGGGCGAAGGGGCACACAGCGTCCCACCAGCTGGGCTGCGGGCGACCGTAGGTGCTGCACACGACTGCAATCGCACGCGCGGCCCGCTCGACCAGCCCGGCACACGCAGCGCGAATCCTGCAGCTGCACTCACACCAGGATCAGGATCGGGACCGTAGCTGCGGCCCGTGATAGCCCTAAAAGACGCCGCCGCTGGGCCCGACCTCCGAGCCTACGACCATCCGCTGACCCCCAAACCACCGTCAACCGCCGCCAACCGACAACAACCGCCAGGCCCAGCTGCTGCTGGATGAGGTCATGCCCAGCTGCACCCTGGGGGAGCTGGCCGCGCTCGAGGCCATCCTCCGGGCCCTAGCCGCGCCGCCCGCGCCGCGCCTGAACGCGGCCCGCCTGCTGCGGCCGCTGCTGACGATCCCGTCTGCGGAGTACCGCCGGATCACGGGCGGTGGCGGCGGCGGCGGCGGCGGCGGCGCGGGTGATGCGGCGGGCGGCCAGGGGAGGGACCAGGCGGATGAGGAGGACGGCGGCGGCGTGGGCGCGGCGGCGGAGGCCGCGGCGGCGGCGGGGGAGCGGCGGGCGTCGAGGCTGACGTTCCAACTCATCAGGTGCGGGGCCGCGACAAACGGGGGCCCTGCGGAGCCCCCGCCTGAGCCGGTTGGCTGACGGGAGACAGGGACGGGCAACGTCCCTGTCGCGGCTCTCGCCCGCGCCGCGCCGCACTCGCGCCGCCGCTTTGAGGGGCCTCGCTTTGAGGGGCATGGCGCCTGCTCACGCGGCTCCGCGGAGGCCGCACCGGGCGTGGCATGGCCCGCGCCGGCGCCGCCGCTTTTGGGGGCCTCGCGCACGGCGCCTCCTCACACGCGCCCATGGCCCGGCGCGGGGGGCGCGCCGGGCCCGGCAAGCCCCGGCGCATCCCCGACACGCTGCGACGCCTGACCCCCACCCATTCCATCCCCACCCCTCTACACGCACCCATTCCGTCCCTACGCCGCGCCCCCGCAGCCTCCTGGCGGCGGCAGCCCCAGAGGACGTCGTGCCACACCTGCCTTGGCTCACGACCTTTGGCCTCTCGCGCACAGTGCAGGCGAGCGCTGGGGTTTCGGGGCTTTGGGGCTTTGGGGCTTTGGGGCTTCGGGGCTTTGGGCCGCGGCGGCCGGCGCGGTCCTTGCGGCACCGCCGGCGCGGCTCTCTCGCGCACAGTGCAGGCGAGCGCTTTTGTTTGAGGTTTTGGGGCTTTGGGGATTTAGGGTCTTGGGCCGCGGCGGCCGGTGGGGTGCTTGCAGCGCCCCCGACGCGGCGCGGCGCCGGCGACGGGCGCCTTCGCGGGTGTGGATGGTTACCCGCGCGCCGGCTGCGTGCAGTGGAGGTTGCGAGGGATGAGACGTGCCCAGCGCAGCAGCCGCTGGCCGGCGCTGTTGCGCCGCGCGCGGGGCGCGGCCGCCTGGCGCATATGCAGCAGGTGCCCGAGCCGCCGGCGCGTGCATGTTCTCAGCCTCACACCCCTCATCCGCTTGCAGCGCGGCCTCGCCCTGGTACCGCAAATCTGCCTGTTTTCTCATTCGAGAACCTCAACCCCCCATTCCCATTCCCATTGCCTTTGATCCCACCCCCCTCAACCCTCCATCCCAAGACTGAACCCCCAATCCCCTTGCACCCATCCCCCTCCCCGCAAAAAAACGAACATAATAAAATGACAGGACCCCTTCATCCAGCGCCACACCTGCCTCATCCTCTCCCGCGCCGCCCCCGCCATCCTGGCGCCGTCCGCGCTCCGCGAGTTTGCCGCCGCGTCCCCCGACGCCCCCGGCGGCGCCGCCGCGCGCGACGAGTTCCTGAGACGCACGTTCGAGTCCCTCGCGCGCCTTCTGGTTTCGCCGTCGGGCCCAAACCTGACCCTGGCTGGCGCGGCCGGCGGGCCTGCAGGCGCAGCGGGCAGCGGCGGCGGCGGCGGCGCGGGCCTGGTGACGCAGGAGGGCAACTGGCCCGCGGCGGCTGAGGCGGCGCTCGGCGCGCTGTACGCGCTGCACCCGCGGCCGGGCGCGCTGGCGGGCGCGGTGCTCGCGCGGCTGGCGGCGGCGGCGGGCGTAACGCTCGCGGGAGGTGCGCGGGCGGGCTTGGGGCGCACGACCCATGAAGCACATCAGCAATTCTTGCCTTCGATTTCACTCAACCGCAAGCCCGTGCAAGACGGCCCCATCCTGCACCCGAAATGTCGTCCTCATTACGCCGCCAGGCCGACGCGCGGCAAACCCAACCCCCGCTCCTCCCCAATCCCCGCCCTCCCGCCAGGCGCCCCCGGCGCGGCGGCCCCCATGGGCGGCCGCCCCTCCTCCCCAGCCGCCCTGGCGCGCCTCTTCACTGTCCTTGGCCATGCGGCCCTACACCAACTCGCCCTATCCGAGCGCCTGCTGCGCGCCACGCGCGCGGGCCGCGCCGCCGCGGACCGCGACGCCGCACAGGCGGCGTCCGACGCGGCGCACTACTCCGGCGGCGGCAGCGGCGCCGCCGCGCCCGGGAAAAAGCGCGGGAAGGGGGGCGCCAAGGGCGGCGGGGAGGGGGCCGGCAAGGCGGGGGATGAGGAGGAGGATATAGCGGCGCAGCTGGGAGTGGGGGCGACGGCCGATGAGCTGGAGGCGATGGGGCACGAGGTGGAGGGCCAGGTGGGCTGGCAGGGTTTATGATCTAGGGTTTAGGCTTGCTTGCTTGACACGCATGTGTGTGCAGGGGCGCGCAGGTGGGCGGGGGCGCGCCCGCGGGGCCGGGCCAAGGGGGACGATTTTGGCAGGCGGCGATGTGCACGCGTGCTCGGGCGCGGGCGCGGCGGCCGTGCGCGCGCGCTGCTGGAACGCGCGGGGGCGCCGCGGCCTCTGCCTGCACCTGCAGCGCGTCGGGTTGTCGCACTGCTCTTCACGCTTGCGCTTTGCACCGCCCTTGAAACCTCTCTATCCTGAAACCCCACTGCGACGGCCCCGCCTCGCCCCGTCCCGCCTCGCCCCGCAGATCCTCGCGCCCGGGCAGCTGCTCGGCGGCTACGCGGCGCTGCTGTCGGCCTTCTGCACGCGCAGCAGCTTCCTCTCCCAGCCGCCGGCGCTGCAGGCGGCGGCGCTGCTGGGGCTGACTAAGCTCATGGCGGTGGACGGGCGCATGTGCCAGCCGGCGGCGGCCGGGGGCGCGGT